CAAACATTAAGTTAAGCAAACAAACACAAATACGTGCAAACACACACACACAAACACACACATATATATATATATATACACACAAACGTATATACAAATAATCATACATACAAATAATTATACATACAAACATCGATAATAAAAAAGCACATATACAAACATACATACATACAAGCAGACATGCAAACAAACATACAAACTAGCAAACAAACATACAAAAACAAACTCGAAACCAAAGCAAATAGCAACACTTTTATAGACTTATATATCTTTATACATCGGCCGTGGATTAATCCATACACAAATGCTTACACCACACACACACGCACACACACACGCACGCACACACACGCACGCACACAACGTTGATCAATGATTTAATTAAAACAGCAGCGAATCGGCCAATATATATTTGTAATCCGTCTAACCATTCGTTCATCAAGAAACTTGTAAAATTTTCAATTACTAGCCAAAGCATTTAATGCTGCTTAATTGCTACACGAAGTATATATTACCAAAGAATTTGACACAATTTAAAAACTAAGTGAAGTACTTGACTGCAAGTAAAGTATTTTTATTTCATATCATTGTATTTTGGGTTTCATGTGCTTGGGTGTGTATATGTGTATGTATGTATACGTGTATGTGTGTGTATGTGTTTGTGTGTGTATGTATGTATGCATATGTGTGTGTATGTATGAACCCATAATTGATTAGAGCTATAAAGGAAGAAATAATTATATATCATGTGTGTGTATGTGTTTGTATGTGTGTGTGTATGTGTGTATGTGTGTGTATGTGTGCGTTTGTGTGTTGTGTATGTATGCCTGTCAAAATATATTTATGCAAATTTTTTGAAATGTCACCGACTGAACGCGGTACAAAAAGAAAAATTATTCTCTGATTTTATTTTCGATGTTACATTCTTTTGTTCAGTTGTTTTTTTACTTTCTCTCATTCAATTTTTTAATATTTTCAAATACACACACTTCCCCTCTCTCTCTCTCTCTTTCTCGCTATCTCAAAATTTCAATACCCTCTCTCTCACTCCCTATCTCCAATTTGCCATTCCTTTCGGTACGCTCGGTCTATCTTTTGGAAAATTTCCTCTCAAGCAGGCATCTCCTACAATGATCCTAAAAAATGAGCGGGATTAATGTCATTGGACATCGCATTTGAGATAAGGGTAAAAATGTGAGAGCTAGATAGAATTAGAGAGAGAGAGAAAGAGGTAGAGTGAGAGAAAGAGGGAGAAAGAGAGAGAGGGAGAGAGAAAGAGGAGTAAGAGGAGGGAAAAAAGTAACCTTTTCAATTTAAATTTAGAATTGTGGTCACTCGACAGAGAAACAGCCATTGCTCTTAGCGGAAATAAAATCAGAAGAAAAAAATCAGTAAAAAAAAGAGTTGAGAGCATTCGTGTGATAGGAAGAACCGTGGAAACAAAAAATTAAATGAAAGTAAACAGATGAGAAAAACAACAAATAAATAGAGAGAGATTGAAAGAAAAAAAGAAAGAAAGAAAGAAAGAGAGCGAGAGAGAAGGGGGGTAGAGAGATAGAAATAGAGAAAAAAATATAGAGAGAAGACAGATAA